CTTGACTACTTTTTTGATTTTAGGACAGTGCTGAATAAAATTGAGTTTATTGGTGTTTTTAACAATATTTTTCTGGAAGTAATTTTATTAGTTTACCAATCAAAACCAAACTCCCTGCCATTGAATCCATTCTGACTCATGGTGACCCTGTAGGACAGGGTAGAACTGCCACTGTGGTTTCTGAGGCTGTAAGGCTTTCCAGGAGTAGAAAGCAGAGCAATGGGTGGTTTTGTACTGCAGACCTTGAGGTTAGCCTACCATTACACCACCCAGGGTTCCTTGCTATTTATACGGTACTGTTAATTATTGAAGGCTCTTTGTCACATACTGTTTGGGTGGTTGAATGTAACGGTGACAGCTCATATTCGGTGGTGTTGCCTATTGCTAGTGAATTCAGATGACTTATTTCAGTCTTTGTAGGAATTGGGCCACTTGGAAGGAAAAATATAAAAACTATAGGAAACCAGTGAAGCTAAAAATATCTAAGAAGCTCACTAAGCATGTGAAATAGCGGAAGTCTCTTTTGTGCATTGATGAGAGGGAGCAAGATTTTAACGATGCTTAACTAAGTAATTCATAAATGAGTGACATTTGGTTTTAGAATACCTATATTGAATCTTGAATTTAGGTCCGTTCGTGTGAGTTTAGTTCACAAAGTATAATTTTCCCGCCAAGATCTTGTCAGGGTTTTATTCCTGTGTCGTAGACATTGACTTTGGTGTGTGTTTATATAGTTGCCTCTCCTCCAGAATCCTTCCCCTGTGGCTAGCCTGTCTTAAACTTTAGTTTCAAAGTGCTATCAAGATGTAATAGTATTAGTTTGAGATTTTAAAAAGCTGTGATCTAGTTGCGGACTGTATTTTGAACTCCCTTCTCTTCCGGCTCAGCAAGTAAATAAGCAGCATGTAGAGCCTTCAGTATTGAAACACACTCCAGAATTCTCTGTGCGAGTTGAATGTATTTACCAAGGCATAATTATATAAAGTTCCTTTCCTGCTTTTTGCTTACTGTGCACCCCATAAATACGTACCATATATACACGAGTATAAACCAACCTGAATATCAGCCGAGGTACCTAATTTTACCACAAAAACTGCATTAAAAATGTGCTGAAAACTCGACTTATACACGAGTATATATGCTAAGCACTTCTGTGTTACACATAAATGCAAATAAATGAGTATTCTGGAAGCTCAGAATAGGAAATAAAAAGAACTTACTACTTCTCGGCTTTATGGCTGAGATTAAGTGTAGTATCTGTTCTCATCAGTTAAAAATATAGAACACCTTGAACTGGGTGGTTAGAGAGAGAGTGTTCTGAAAGGTAAGAAGGGGCACCTTTGGTGTGCCTGCTTTAGGCCCAGGTCTCATCCCTTGAAATGGAGTCATTAGGAACATTCTACTATATAGCCAGACTTGTAACTCAGCAAGGACCAGAAAACGTGATTAACCGAAGTGCAGTGCTGAATTCATTCTGACAATATCTTATCCTTCTTAAGACTTAAGCTCCTATGTTATTTGACTTCTAATATAAGGTGACATGCTTATAATACATAGAAGTGGAACAACATATTACTTAAAAACCAGTGAGTAACTGAAGAAATAACACAATTTTAAAAATTAATTTGAAACAAATGAGAAAGAAAATCCAACATATCCAAGTCTCTGGGACAAGGCAAAAGCAGCACTCGGAGGGTGGTTTATAGCAATACATGCATGCATCAAAAAGGAAGAAAGACTTAAACACCTTAACACATCAACTACAAAAACTGGATTAAGACCAGCAAAACAAATCCGCAGACATTAGAAGAAAAGAAATAATAAAGAAATGATTAAATGGATCACAAAATAGAATAAAACCAGCAAGACAAGAAATTGATTCTTCAAAAAGATTAACAAATTGATAAAACCACTAGCAAGCCTAACAAACGAAAAGGAAACAAATTTATGAATAAAAAATGAAATGGCTAGCATTACATCTGACCAGATTTAAAACAATAATCAGTTATTAAAAATTGTATTCCAATAAATTAAAAAATCCAGAAGAAAAGGATAAATGCCTAGAAATATATTACCCAAATTAACAGACTAGACTAGAAAATCTCAACAGACCTACAACACAGAAGAAGTAGATCCGGTGATAAAAAATATCAACAAAGAGGGAAACAATGACAAGGATCTACATGTGACCTCCTCCCCGGGGAACGGACGGACAACAGAAAAGTGGG